GAAAAATACTTGCATCATCTTATTGAAAATCTTGTGTATCAAACAAAACAATATACAAACAGATTGCTATGAGAATAGTGTAGAGTGTTGTGAAATGATTTTAGGATACTGGTACAATCAAAAGCAAATCTGGAAGTGAAGGAAAAAGTTTTTTTTTCAAGACTTCCGTTTCAACTTTAGCAAATAAGTTTAAGACAAGTGCTTCCACTATACAATGAGTGAAGAGAAATTGTGGCTATAAATTTTATATAAAGAAAAAAGTTGCCTTAAATAGAAATCTTATACAAAAAATGTCCCTTGTTGTGAAGAAAATCAATAAAATGTTGTTTTGTTAAAAATTATGTGGTCAAAAACTTTATTTGATTATTGATGATAAAAGTTATTGTGATGCATAAATCCTATTTCTTCCAAAACATCAATATTATTCAGCAATTAATCACAAGAAACTGAACTCCAAATATAAATATAAAATGGAATGCAAAAGTTCTCTGAAAATTTTTTAATTTAGCTAACAACTTGTAAGTATGGTGAAAAAAGCTCTTGGCTTGTAACTATGAAAACAACAAACTCGAAATATACTCAAATAATGCCTCAAGAAATTTCTTCTACCGTTTTTAAGATCTCTTATGGTTTATTCATTATTTTAAATAATTTAGCATCATTTCACTACTCTGGGGCAACTTTAAATTGGCTTAGAATCCATTAAGTAAATTTCATTGAAAAACACTGCAATCCACCAAATTGTCCAGTATTTCATCATATCAAAAGATATTGGGCTATTGTCAAAGGAAAACTAAAGTTCAATGTAAATAAAGCCAAAATAATTCAAGAATTCAAAATTAAATGGAATAAAGCTACCAAGAAAGTCCAGTTAAAGACTATACAAAAGCTAAATATTCTGTAAAATTTAAGAATATTGATATATGTGCTTTCAAAATATATATAGTATTTAATATCGAAATACAGTAGTTGAATAAAGGTTCTTTAAATTATCAGCTCAGATTTTTTTCTATTATGTCTTATCAATATTGAGGTCATTACATAAAATAAAGCTCCTGTTGGAGCAGGAGTGTAGATAAATTGAAAGTGAATAGATCAAAGTTATTGCACCAGTCTTAACAGTCTCAATTCAAATTGTATGATGTTGAATTTGAGAAATTTGAATTGCATGATGCTGGAGTCAATTTCAGGTATAAAAAGAGCTTTCATTAAGATTTTAGAAAAAAATAATTTTTACTAGAGGATGTGGTTCCAACCAATGAACAGTTTGTGATAATGGAGAAACTGGCTTCAGTGTTAAAGGAATCCCAAGTTGTGTTCATATCATAGAAAAACATTAGCAAATAAGTTAAAAATTAATTAAAGTTAAAAGTTAATTAAACTTTCCAAAAAAAATTATTGAATGAGTATTAACAAAAGCATTTGTAATTTTTTCATTATAGTTCCGGTTCAGAGCTTAATTTTAGGCTCTCAAATCTGTATAGTTTTTTCCGTTAAAAAAACATCTGGTTTCAATAATAAATTTTTTCGCTCACCACAAAGTCCTTTAAACTCAGTTCAGATTTACACAATCAAATTGTGTTTTCTCCTTCATATTTAATCTGCGGTGGTTATAAAAAATGTTTGTTGTAGCATGTTTTTGTTTTGTTCAATGTGTCGTTAAGTGTTTGAGTTAAATAAACTAGCATAATAAATATAGTAATTTAAAATACACAAGATGAATATTTTTCTTGTAAAATAAGTAATCAATTTTTTTTACATACATCACTCAGTACAATATAATCCAACATGGTTAAATTTTGTAAGATTTAAAAATCTCCATTTTTTTAATAAATTGAGGAAGCAGTTTTTAAAGTTTTTAACTTATGTTTATAATGATTTATATTTCTATTTCAAGAAATCGTTTTTAAAATGATCTAATATATATTTTTCAGATATATATAAAATTGATAAACTTGTATCTTATATTTTCATTTCACTGCATAAGGGAAAACCCCTGCAATTTAAACTTAAAGTTTTTTAAAAGAAACTTTTTGTATTGACATTAAATATAAGCGCACTAATCAGACCTGATTTAAAAAATAAAAATAGTCAAAAAGCCGGAATTTTCCTTCACCAGAAACAAAATGGCGTTAAAAATTAAAAGGGTTATTCCATATCAAATCACCTAGTTTTTTGAAAGTTTCCCAGGGTACCATCTCAGATTTGTTTTAAACTTTGACTACACACATATCTTATGAAAAAAATACAATCCAGAAAATTTCAGCTTGATTGATCAATTTGTTCAAAAGTTATGATTGAATTAAAAATGACCAAAATCCAAAAAACTTGTATAAGGAGCTTACAGCGGTTTTTTTTCGATTTTTGACAAACCATAACTTTTTAAATAAAGCTGGTGATCACCTGAAATTTTGTAGGGTAATATTTATTCACCCAAATAATCCATTATTGCAGTTGTTTTTGACTGATTTTTTTACAGTTTTTGAGTTATTGTACCTTAAAGTTGCTAAATATTGCAACATTATAAATATTTTTTCGAACTTTAACGTGTTACAGTTTAATACTTACTTACAAAAAGTGGATTTTTTTGTTATCTTTGTGTACTTAGGGTCACCACTTGTTAGAATAATCAAAATTATGCATTAAAAATTAACACATGAAAATTAACATATACAGCAGCCTATTAAAATATCATTTTTTTTTTAAATTATGATAAATTACATCGACTTTGCTGGCATTGAAAGTAGCGTAAACAGTTGAAATAAATTATGAAACTTTTTAATGTTGAGGTTCTATATATAGACAATCACCAAAAAAAATTTAAAGACCTATATTCTATCTTATGGCATGATTGTAGCCTTTTGAGAGTGATGATATTTTTAAAAGGAGAACAAAAAAATACCACTTACCACATACAAAATTTATACCTCAAATTTTGTACAAACTATACAGTAAAAAAGTGCATTCAAAGAGTAAGATAATCAGTTAAAAGAAAAAGTACATAAAACTAATTAGCTTATCTCTGATTTATATAACTCATAATGCTGTCATAGTCTTTACTAGCAAGAATATAGTCACGAACACTTATACTTTAAATCAATGGAAAACTTATTTGACATATTATCTTGTCAAATGAAACCCAACACAACTTGTCTCGTACATCGTTTGTCCATTTTAAATTTAATTTGCTCCTTTGCATAAACTTCACATTAATGTCTTGGTTTTCATTACAAATATCAACCACAAACCCTATGTACCATTCTTCATCGTAAAAGTATGTAGTATATTTACTGGGTTGAAAATTTGAAAGATTTTTTTAAAATCAAATTAAGATCATTTAACACATGAGTATCATAGACAGTATCACTAGAGATTCTTTGTAAAAACAATTTCTCTCTTGTTGTTTTAGTCGAAGCTCTTTTTCTCCATTTTCTGCAGTATTTTGAGTATGTAAAATAAACGCGATTTTCCAGGTGCATTATACAGACTTGATAATTTATTCAAGCGCGTTTAATTCATAGGAGTTTTAGTGCATAACATCATAGATTTTGACCTTTGATGTTATTTTGAGCCCATGTAAACAGATCTTGTGGTGCGAGAATTTGATTTGTAATTGCTGCCCATAGACTAGCTTTTGCTGCTTCTCTTTTTATAGTACCTCCTATTCCATCACATGGACTTTTGCCATGTGACGTAGCAAAGAAGTGATGCTCAGCATTTATTTGGTGATCTACAATGTGATAAATTAAGTTTATTAGACATTTGTAGTTTTTATACTGCGACGCAGCACTATCACTGAAGTATTTAACTTTATTCACTGTGGGTAGTTTGATTTTGACCATAGGGAGCAACTTTGTGAGAAAAAATGGACTGCTGATTGGTAATGACAAAGATGGTCAGAAATTAAACAATAGCATTCACATTTAAGGTGATCTTTTTCATCTTTGTAATAAACAGCAAATGGGTGTAAGGTAGCTTGATCGGCTTGCCAACAAAACCCTTATATACTTTCTTGTACAAGATAACTATAGTTCTCTGCAAAATCCATCAGAATAATGCAGGTGTATTGGTCTAATGTTTGTTTTGCTTCTGATAAGTAGGAAGACTGTGCTTCTTTAATAAAGTGGTGGTGACAAAGGTCATACAACTTTTAGATCTATTCTTATTAGGTCTGAAGAACTAAACTCTTCATCATCAACATCTTTTTCTTCATCTTCTTACTAAATTTTCCTGTAATCTGTTCAAGTTTGAATTCATTCAAACAGTTAGTGCAAATTTTTTAACCAGGTTTGATCTTAAGTTGACTTGCTGTTAAAATATTGACTTTACACAATCCCTTAATAATTTTTTTCTTGTGGACTTAAAACGGATCACAGCAGTATTTTTGAAGCGCTTCATATCTAGAAATATAGGCTTTTTCATGGTGAAAACATATCTCCTCATTTAGTTCAAAAGTGTATCTAATTCTTTGAATTAAAACTTCAACATCTGTGTTCACAATATTTTTTAGTTTTATTCTTCTAATCATTCTACAATAATAGGTTTTGTCGCAATCTTCGTTTAAAACTTTCCCCACAACATTTCCTTGTCATTTTTTACAATTTTTTTATTTTTATTACTAATTAAAAAGTTTAAAAAAGACATAAACATTAAATCTCAAAGAAACTAACAAATATCAGACACTGATTATGACACTGATTATGTCATTATTTGAAGTTGAACACTTACTTATAGTTTCTAAATGTTTGTATAATACATTTAGCTGAGGTTAGGAAAGCCTGTTTATTTTGTCATATATATTTAGCTGAGGTCAGCAAGCTTGTTAATTTTGTTTTTAATAATTTATTAACTTTCTAAAAATCTTAAAAATTAATTAGAATTTTATAAATAAATTTTATAAAAATATATAAATAAATATATATAAATAAATTTTATAAAAATGATACTTTTGTTAAATATTGTAATATAGTGTTTTATATTCTTTTTTAATGATTTTTTAGGCTGCTATTCAAACATCGTTTAATGAAAGTGAAGGGCTTCCGTCTGTTTATGATAACAAATATAGATCAGCTGATGAGTATGCAATAGTAAATTTTAGATTCAGTGACAGCAAAAAAATTACTTTTAACAAAAAGTTAAAACAAAAAGAATTAATTTATTTGCAATATTTTTCAGTTGTGAATTTATTATCAATTTAGTGTTTATAAGTTAAATGTAATGCAAAAGTATTAGGCAAACTTATACAAGGAAACAACCTGACAAAAAATCAACTGAAAATTCTGTCAAGATGATAAGAAAACAGCTGTAAACAAAAAAAAAAGTGCATCTGCTTAGAAGTTTCTGCTGATTTAAAGGGTGTTTATGCTATCTTAAAAAAAAAAAAAAAAAATAGAAAAAGTGCAATGTCAAAACATTAAGAATCAGGTGGAATTTAAATTAAGATTTAAGATCTAAATTAAATTAAAATTTATAATTTAAGGTTGAAATTAAATGAGTAAAAAAAAAAGGTATGCACAAAAATTGTAATTCTTTTGTCAATAAGGGCTTTAGGAATGAAACTATTTTTGAAAACAAAATAAAGATTTTATAATAGAAATGTGCAACTTGTAAAAATTCAATAAACAGAGAACCTTGGGTATAAAGTAAAAAACCCTCTGCATCTGTACACAAAAGCTTGTTTGTCAATGTTTGTGTTTTGGAGTTAAAGAGTTGAGAAAGGGTTATAATCATAATGATGTAACCTCCTTGACTTCTCCTTGACCCTCTTGGCCTTGGGGAGGTGAATAACATTAAAAAAAAAAAAAGTAAACAGTAAATAGTACAAATAACTAAGGCAACATGTACATGATGCATACTATGACGTTTAATTAAATATAATGTTAATAAATTAAAGTTTCATATCTTTGTTTTTAGGTGATTTATTAAGTTAAGATGTATGTCAATTTTATCTAACTATTTCCATATTAGTTTTTCAAGGTTTTCTCAAACTGTTCTTTATTAAACATGAACATATCTAATCTACATTTACCAAAGTATACATGTTATAAATATTCATATACCTATTTACCACTGTATACAACTTTCATACAGGTGTTAAGTTAACAAACCTGGAAAATCTTTGACTTTTCAACCTTGCCAGGTATTATATAGTCTATTAGTTTGCCAAATATTTTTTTAAATCATTTAACTTATTACCTCTAAATTGGTACAGTGATTTTATTTTGTCTCAATATCTTTCAGGTTGTATAAAGTTTAATTTATTGTTATTGAACAGAGGTGGAAAAAGTAACAAAATCTTGTACTCATAAAATAAAAGCTCTTTAAGTTAGATTTAGTTAAATGAATTCATTGAACTTCGTAATCAAATAACAAATATTTGCTATTTAACTTAGCCAGTGCTTACTGATAGTATACGTTGCAGTGTTTTTAACAGCAATTTTCAGATAACAGATTTTTAACAGCAATTTTCAGATAACAGATTTTTAACAGCAATTTTCAGATAACAGATTCATTTAATGAATACTACTATTTGTTAAGTGAATAGTACTATTGGTAAGGCAAATAGTGCTATTCATTCAGCGAATAGTGCTATTCATTCAGCGAATAGTGCTTTTCGTTAAGTGAATAGTGCTATTCGTTAAGCGAATAGTGCTATTCGTTAAGCGAATAGTGCTGTTTGTTAAGCGAATAGTGCTGTTCGTTAAGCGAATAGTGCTGTTCGTTAAGCGAATAGTGCTGTTCGTTAAGTGAATAGTGCTATTTGTTAATATACAGAAAAAAATAAAACATATGGTTTATTCTTTTCTGTATATTTTTACACTATAAACTTTTTGTTAAGTTTGAGAAGCAGTTGGTTTTTAAAGTTAGTAGCATTTTTTCTTGCTTTAAAGTGAATTACAGTTACATTGCTAAATAGACACTGACAGGTAGGTGAGGTAGGAAGACAAGTGTTAAGTTTGAGAGATCTTTTTTGATGTGTTGAAATGAGTTCAACAGATCCATTTTGTTTGAACTGCAAACAAGGTATCTATCTACCTCCTCTGTACCTTGTGACCTTCTGGATTTTATTGATGAAAAAAATTCTTTTTCATCCTACAAGTATTATCTAACTTGCTGCACTTTTGCCATCTGATTAATGTGTTTTTTCACATAGACCAGACCTGTTAAGAAATAAAAAAACAATCCATTAAAAATATTTGTGTCAATGCAAAGATTAGTTTTATGGTACTTGAACAACAATGGATTATTAAGAAGTAACAAAATAGAAAAAAATATGCACAGCAGATTACACTACTAATGCTGAAATCCTGAATCCAGCTAAAATTCACCCACAACAAATGCATATTTACAGACATTTTTTGCAGAAGTAGGTGTGGATTAAATATAAAAATATATGACAAAAAGAGCTTTATGAAATTATTTCAATCTGTATAATAAATAATTATTTGATGGCATTGATTAAATTATATAAAAAATCTAATTTTTACTTTGAATTTTTCAAACACATTTTTGAAGGCATCTGGACCTTTTCTTAAATATTGTAATATCCTTAAGATTTTCTGAATAGCTATGTATGTTGAGTTCCCCGCCTTGTCTGATTTGGCCAGACGAGCTTGAGCTTGCATTTCTCTTCATTGCCATAAAGGTACTTTTTTGCCATAAAGTCACTGAAGACCTTCAGCTTTTAAGGATGTTTTCTTTCACAAAAAAAATACTTTATCATTTAGATTAATGTCATATTCATTTAACATGCTAACATTTGTTGTTAAAAGGTTTTCTACAGGCATTTGGTCTTAACATTTTCTAGTGCACATTTGTAAAACTAAATTATAACTATGTTACAAAAAGACTAAAACTGGGAGCTACCTCTAGCACTTTTGCAAATCAAAGTACAAAGTAATATTATAAAAGTATACAGTTAGTGTTAAATTGCTTCAACGTGCTTGTGGAGATTTAATGTAGAGTTTTTGCTGCCAACTTGAGCATAAACAGAGTTTTTATGTTCATGAGTTATATGAGTCATGTTTTATGAGTTATGAGTTGAGCAAAAACAGTTTACACTACGTAATAAAACTTTCTTGCATTTGAAGTCTAAGTGGTCAACTAAAACAGTTAAAAGTCTCTAACAGCATGTGCAACTATTTTCTTTGAAAATGATTTAAAAACGTGAATTCTTTAATAAAAACATGTGATGAAAAATAAATATTTATCATTAATTAATATATGAAAATTAATTAATATACGAAAGCAGTGCTTTGTATAAATAATTTTTTTCGAGCATCTATACGGAAAAAGTTCAAAATAAAGCCAATAATTGTGTAACTAGGATATGTAATTAATTAAAAAAAAAACCTCTTATAGTTTATGTTTTTTCATAGTACATTCTACAAAATGTAAACATACTTAAACTTCAATTTAAATTTTTTTTAAGCAGTGCTGTGTTTGATGTCTTCATAACTTCACTTAAAACATGAAAACTATAATAAAACAAAGATATAATACAGGTGGTAATTTTTATCAACTAAACAAATTAAATCATATTTTTTGTAAAAATAAATTTTTTTTTACTCAGTGACATATGATTAAAAATGTAGCAAAGTAAAATACTTAAAAAAAAATACTTGAGTAAAAGTATAAGTTAAAAAAAAAAAATACATTTAAAAGAATACAAGAAATGTATAAATACAAATAATAACCCAATTACAGTAACATGAGTAAATGTAATTTATTCCATCTCTGTTCTTGAATTTTTAAAATCTATACAATAATCTTATGTTTCATTAATCTTATTTTCTCATGAATTAATTGAAAGATTTTATTTTGTATAAAACTTTTTACAAATTTGTAAAAAGTTTTATACAAAACTATTTTTTTAATTAAATTTCAAACTTATTTGAAATTTAGGAATCTGTGCAATGTAATGTTATAAAAATATTAGACTATATAAATGTTAATTTATGATAATTTATGCATTTCTAAATTTTCAGGTCAAGCAAAGCAATCACAAAAAGATCAACTTCACATAAAAATGCAATTCATATTACAAGAAGAAATGTATTTTCTTTTTTTTATTACAAATTTTCTTTATTTAATAAATGAAATTTTTTCTTTCTCTAATTAGTTTAATAAACATTTTGTTTTAGACATGGAGCCAATGGATAAAAAATGTTTTTTTCATTCCCATTACAATTTTTCAAATATCCTTTCAATTTGGTTACAGTTTATTTTCCGAGTTTTTTAATTTTGTTTGTAAGTTTTCTTGTTATTTTTATAGATTTTTATTTGTATATTTCTGCAACTATACAGAAACACTAATTTTTAAGCTGAGAACCATTTGGCTTAATGTTCTTTACACCTTATTTTATTCTTTAATGCTAATGGTATTTCTACTCAGTGCATGTCTAAATGCTGATCACGTTTCTTCATAATACATGTGTTGATTCTACTGATTAAAGGGATTCCCAACTGCGGTGACAAGTTGTGTTCATATTAAAGAAAATGTTAAAAAAAAACATTTGGGCTAAATTATGATAAGTTAAACCATAACTAAATGGAAATTAAACATATATATATATATATATATATATATATATATATATATATATATATATATATATATATATATATATATATATATATATATATATATATATATGTATATAAATATATATATATATATATATATATATATATATATATATTTGTATAATTTTTTACTAAATCAGAAATATTTTTGTGGTTTGGTAAAAAATTATACAAATATTTGATTTTCTGATTGTAGTAGAAAAAATACTTTTATCTTTAAAAAAACAAAAACAAAAAAACGCTATCTTAAAAAGATATTGCGATGATGTCATATACCGAAACTGTTATGAATTAAACACGCATGGAATTAATAATCAAGTCTGCAGATTGTGGCTAACATTATACAGACCCCGAGAATCCAAAAAAAAATTAGAGAAGGCAAGCTTTGACTAAAACAATAATTTTAGTTTTGTTGGTATGCATTTATTATATAGTTTCAATCAAAAAAATTTAGCCCAAATGTTTTTTTTTAACATTTTCTTTAATATAAACACAACTTGGGGATCCCTTTAATACTAACTGTGCATGTTTTAATGGTAATAATTTTTCCTCTTAGTGTGTATGTTACGCACATCGATGTTTACTTTAAATATTGTAAAGTTGAATATTGTAAAGTTGTTTTTTTTTTTTTTTTTTTTTACAAATAAAGTAATTAAGTTGTTGTATGGTTCAATCAAAGTTTTCCCTTACATATTTTAATCAAAGTTTAAAAATATTGTTTTAAAATAAATATTTTAATTAAAAATGTTTTTAAATAATTTAAAATTTTTTTTTGTTTTATTTCAAAGAATGTATAAACTTTAATGCACATTGATTTCTAAATGATCAAACAGTTATACTGTGTAGTTTACTTCTAGTAGTTCTATTATGTAATCAAATAATTTTATTACGTAATTGATAAACATGAGTCATTTTATCATATAGTTGATTAATGACTCAGGCTGGACACCAATGCTAGAGCAACTTTAGCCTAAGACTTCTGAGGTCATAATGTGCTAGCTGAGGGTTTATATTTTGTAATTGTAATGTCAATAAAAGTTCTAATGTCTAGTTAAACTTTCCAATGTTTTTGTAGCATTTTTAATTTTAAATTTTTCATATTATAGTTAAAATTTTGTACAGGGTGGTACACAAACCGCATTGCCATTTTAAAATTCAATATTTTTTTGTTTGTTATTATTTTTTTCTTTTCAGGATTAAAATGTAAAATCTTGGAAAACTTAATCAAGATTAAATTTACAACCGAAGGAAGATGTAAGACTATTGATCTTTATTTTCAAAATAAGCACTCAATTATTTTAACACAGAGATCTTTTATGCACCATTACCATGGTTTGCAAAGGTGATTACACCATTTCAATGTTTTGCAATGTTTGGACATACCAAGCCTACAATAATCAATTTAGTAAAATGTTTTTGAGGAAAGTGTTCTGTCAGCCTATCAGAGTCACAATCTGAATGTGGTCCCTAAGTATGTACACCTAAAAATACAGAAAATTTGGCACAGTATTAAGGGCAATCTAACCACATTAACTTAAAGACGTTATTAAGAACCTGGAATCTCATGGAGGTTGTTGCAGCAGGTTCTAAAAGGCTTTAACATGTACCATACAAAGTTTAGCTAGAGCAATCTATACAACAATTAGACTTGCAAAAGTGGCTGAATTAGGTTGTTAGATTTCAGGATATTACAAGAATCATTATTAAATTTATCCCCAACTTGATCATGGAAGACAAGGCCCATTTTTATTTGGACATAAATGTGAATAAACAGAATATAAAGATTTTGGGGTACAGAAAATCCACTTAGTTTTGAAGTTATTAGCACTCACGTAAGGTTATAGTTATGGTGTGGAGTAACCTCTTAAAAATTATTGAGCTTTACTTCTTTAAAGATCCTGATGACAATGCAGTAACTGTAACTGGCAAGTGTTATAAAGAAATGCTGGTAAATTTGGTTCAGCCTGAGATATTGTACAATATTTAACCAAGAATTTCAGAATATTGGTGGAAGCAAGATTGTGCACATATTAGCAACTGCACATATTGCTACCATGCAAATTTAACGTTCAGTTAACATTTAGTTTTGAAACCAAATAATTTCTGATAACACTATGTTTTTTTTTGGCCCCCACTGTCACCTAATTTGACAGCCCTCTTTCCTTTAGAGGTACCTTAAAGAAAAGGTGTATGTAAGTGAGGCTCGAACTATCCAACAACCAGGGATTATCTTTTTCCGGATATTTTTCTTAACTTTTAGTTTTTCCGGATATCCAAAATATTTTAGATACATACAAGTTTAGGTGTATATTTTTGTAATATATTTGCTTTTCAAGCTTTTTCACTCATCCCTCATAAAAAATTAAAAAAGATTTAATAAAGAATAATTTAAAAAAAGGTATTTTATTATATAATTGTAAAATTACTTTTGTGCCAACCTATTTTTTAAATTTCCTAAAAATTAATTTAAAAAATAGGTCGGCGCAAAAGTGGTAATTCAGTTTTACACTTTGTCTAAAAGAGAAGGATCATCATTTGATGAGCTGTTCCAGATAAGGCAACAGTATATATGTATAAAAAAACTACACTTTCAAACACCTTTATTGTCTTTTCTTAATCTTAAACAAAACCATGTTAAAACTAAATGCTCAATTTATGTAATTGCTTTAAACTGTGAATAAAGTTAAACAAGCTTTGATTTATCGATTTTAAGCTTTTTTAGAAACATCATGAAAAATGTGTTTTTAACTATTATTATTTATAAGATGTATTAACATCATTATCTTCATTTTTGAAAGGTCGTTTAACAGTGGCTTAAAAAAGTCAAAAAGAATTGATTCTAATTTTTGTAAGTTTGTAAAATAACAAAAAATAGTGCAAGTGTCAGTTTCCAAAGAAACTGTTAGTTTCCTACCTTTTAAACAAATAAAACTAGTGAAGTTTGATTGAAATTCTCAAAACTCTTTAGTTGTTTAAGAAAACTCAAATTTTTTTTTATTTTTAAATTTTTAAATAACTAGAGTATGCAAAAAAATAAATCATACATTTAACACAAAAAAATAAATCTTACATTTAACACAAAAAAATAAATCATACATTTAACACAAAAAAATAAATCATACATTTAACACAAAAAAATAAATCATACATTTAACACAAAAAAATAAATCATACATTTAACACAAAAAAATAAATCATACATTTAACACAAACAACATTTTATTAATAACTTCTTTATTTAATAATAATTTCTGTAGATGTATTACTTTGAAACTGTTCCACCTGACATCTTGTTAATGATTTTTTGGTTAAAACTGTTTAATAAATGTGTAATAACAAACTTAAAATTGTTTTTTTTTAGTTGAAGCTTGCCTTCTTTATTTTTCTTTGTTCAAGCTTGCCTTCTTTATTTTTCTTGGTTGAAGTTTGCCTTCTCTATTTATCTTAGTTGGCAGAGTTTTTATAATATACGCCACATTCTGCACACGGCATAATTTATTTCATGCACATTTAATTCGTAACAGTCTCAGTATATGATGTCATTGTGGATTTTTTTTAAGATATCAAAGTATTTTTTGTCTGACAATCAGAAAATCATTTGTATAATTTTTCACTAAATTCTAAAAAATATTTTAATACAATTAAAAATAAAATGATACCTATATTTCGTTTGTCAATTGTCAAGATTATTTTTAAATTAATATATTTTTTATAAAAGATATTTTATAAAAGATAAAAATTTCATAAAAATATATAAATTTATATATTTGCTTTGTTTTTTTTTTAAAAAGAGTTATTTAATGATTAAATAAAATATGATTAAGTACATTAATTTTTCCACTTAACGATAAATTATTGTAGTCCAATGGATGTTCTATTGCTCTTATTTTGAGGCGTGGCTATCTAAGTTTCGAGTTCAAATTGGAAACTGTTTATTTTTAAATATTTTATTCAAAGTAGTTTTTTTGTTTTTTAACTATTATTGTTGTTTATTTATAGTTGCTTTACATAATATTGTTGTTAATTTTAGTTTTTTAGGTAATTGCAGTTCAGTGATATATACCAACTTAAATAGGGATAGAGACAAATAATAATTAAAAAGTTAATAAAACAAAGTTTTGTCACTTTAAATACTTCTAGTAGATAAAATAAAGAATAAAAGTTTTACAAAATAAATTATATATGATATATTCTTACAAGACAAATAATGTGAAATAAATTATGCAGTCTTCAGATTGCATAAATTACAATGATCAAGAAAAAATGGAGAAAACTTTGACTAAAATGACATTTTTTGTTTTGTTTCATTTATTATTTAGTGTCAATCAAAAAAATTTAGCCAAAACGTTTTTTTTTAAACATTTTCATTAATATAAACACATATTGTCTCGACACTTGGAGATCCATTTAAGCATATAATCTATGCTCTAATCTTAGTTTCAATGCAAACTATTTTCGATTTATATTTACAAAATATATGTTATAGTTATTTTATTGTTAAATTATAAATAATATTATTATTTACAAATTTATTATTATTACAATTATTTAAAAATATTGTTTTATTGAAATCCCCGAGTAGTGCATGGATTTTATTATGTCTAATTTTTCCAATTTAAAAAATTTTTCTTTTAAATGTGTTTTAAAAAAATTAAATAACTTTTTTAATAAAAAAAAGATTCTTTTGGTCATAAAAGTAATGAATTATACTAGATATATAGCATACCTAAGATGTTTTCACTTTGAAACTTCTAAAAAAATATTTTTTTTAATGTAAAATTTGTTCTCTCAATTAATAAGTAATATTAAGTAAAATTTGCTGCAGGGGGTAATTGTTGTCCAATTTATATAACTAATATAGAAATCACAGAAAATAGTTGTATTTCTGACAAAAGTTATTTTCACTCCACCCTAATGCACATGTACTTTTGCGCTTAAATTATATCTTCAATCATCCAGGGTTTGAAAGAGTTTTGTCTGAGAGACAAATTAATAAACAACATAGAGAAGGTTTTCTTTACATAATGGAAATCATTGTCCATGGAAAGGTGATAAAGAAATTGTAACAATTAAAATTTTTTACAGCAAGATCTTTAGAATCTTAAAAAATTTTGTCCTTTATATTGGACAATATGCACTATGTACATTGAAAACAATTTAAAAAATACCATTTCAACACAGTTTCTTTTTATCAATAATAGTATGAAAAACAGCTCCATGAAAACCCAAAAAACATGTGTCTTTATTTGTGCATAAATATCTTAAATTGCATAATATTGTTAAATTGTTTTATTAAGTTTAATCCTTTAATTCACAAGGTACTTAGAGTTACGCATTTCTATCAAGCTTTACACAAATAATGTTTATATGGTATCAAACAGAGCACAATTTTTTTTTTTGTTAAAACTGACCCCAGTTTCCTGGAAAATTTTATCCTTAATACTGGACAATATGCACTATGGACATTAAAAACAATTTTAAAAATACAACACAGAATTTCTTTTATCAATAATACTATAATATTCACAATGAATGTAAACAACAAGAATTTTGTAACATTAAAGCGTGTACACGAATTAAGCGTGTTCACGAAAGTAGAAAACAACTCAAAAAAAGTACTCTTCAGTTTTTATTTTGAACCAAGCTACTTTAATACTGTTATATAAAAAGATCAAGCATACAAAAAATTCAAATTATTCCTGTGAGAATCTAATAAAATTTCAAGCTTTTGCATTAGTAGTGCCCATAGGCTTGTGCACCAAAAAGTTTTTTTTGAATAAAACAAAAAAAATTTTCAGGTCTGTTATTGTGTGATTTAATGAGAGGTAAAAGGTGTTTTTGTAAACACTCTTTAACATATATTTGACCAGAAAGTATGGGCTCAGAAATATCAGGTGCTGATTTTTTGCCATGACTGCAAATAGCTTGCCAAATCAAGGCTTTTTTAGCAAACTTGTCTTGTTTTGTGTATTTAAATTTCTTATCTGTTTTCCTCTATATTTGCATGTTACCTTAGTGAAAGGCTTGGGTTAGTCTTAAAACTGTTAACCAGTTTTCTAATTAGTTTTATATCTTTAAAATCCTCCTTTCTTCCACAACCAAATTTGTTTGAGAAAACTGTTGAATTACACAACTAACGGTGTATGGATTTATTTGCAATGCTTTTGCTATTGAATTAGCTTCTATTGGGATTTTCCAAATATTTGTACATAATTTTTATCTCTTATGTCTTCTTCTTTTGTCATTTTCAAAAATAATTTTAAGTTAATCAAAAAACTAACACATTTTATTAAAATCCAAATCACGTTGTAAACAAAATACTAAAGAATTTTAATATAATCACTGAAAAAAAATAACGTACTTATTCTTTCACATTTATTTCGTGTACATGCTTTATCATGGTGTTAATGTTACTTTATAAATGTTAAGTTTATAAAAGTAAACAACTCCATAAAAACCCAAAAAGCATGTGTATTTGTTTACACATTGTATAAATAAACTTTCTTTAAACATAGTCTTCTTTTTGCAACATTTCTTGCTTTCAACGCATAGCAATAGGTATGTACATCAGAATCGGCTAATGGTGTACGTATTGTTTTTAATATTAGCAGGAATATCTTTTACCTTTATACATTTTGACTCCTCTCATGTATGATTTATACAACTGATCAGTAGCAGGTTGAGATACAGATCTGTGAAAAAATATGTGGACAGTATGAAAAAAGTTTGATATTTTGATATCTTTTATCCTAGAAATATTTCAGAAAGTATGTGTTGTATTTCAATTGTTACAAATACTGTAGGATTTATATTAATTGCACCAAAAAAAGTAAACAGACAAAAGTTGACTGTTCTAGTTTCGTTGTAAACAAGTTTTTTTACCGAATTATTAGATACTGTATTTGTATATAAATAGGTCGACGTTGGCCTGAATATACTTCTAGGAAGCGTGCATGCATCATTGCTTTGCATAAAAGTGTAAATTTATCAACTGATGTTTCAATAGTAGTTAGTACAGCTCATCATTTACAGTAAATGCCTTCATTTACAGTAAATGTCACTACAGTTAACTCAGAAAGGTATTTGAAAATATTGACTACACGCATGCTACCCAGTGTATCAGCTCTAACTATATCTAACTGGTGACTTCATATTTCATTGCTCAATTGCTCCTTGTCATCGCTCAAAGCTGATACAATCGCCTTTGAGTGATGACAAGGAGGCAACATCACAGCGTGACTCAGATGCATGATTGGCCAAGCCAGTCACCAGACATAAACCCAATTGAAAATCTGTGGTGCATCTTGAAAAGGAATATCAGCAACACCAAGCCAACAGGCAGAGTCACTCTGATAGAGGCAATAATATGTGCCTGGCATCACACAGTCAACTTGGAGACATTGCACACTTTAGTTTAAAGCATGTCTCGACGTATCGCTGGTGTAATAGCTGCAAAAGGGTTATGCAACCAAATATTAATTTCAGACATGTAGCAATAGCTACAGGACATTGTAGTGAAAAAATTCTTAATCAAGTACTAAATCAAGTAACTAAGATTAATTTGCAACTATGAACAAAACACTTAATTATTGAAAAGTGTTAAATGTCATTTATAATTTAAAATACTGTGATTTGAAATAGTATTATGTAAAAAAAAAAAAATAGTTTTTTGATGCTGTCCACATACTTTTTCACAGATCTGTACAGTTACTTTTTTTTTGGATTTTGCAATTAAACTGCAAACATAGTCCAACTAGATTTTTCCTAACAAAATTTGATTTAACTAATACTCTTTTGTTATCAAACCACGTGATTATAACCAGTAACTTGTTACTTGAAAAAATTTTATCAGTAGCTCCTCACCCGCGTTTTAAAAAATCTTTTTCAGATGCCAAAGGACAACGAGTTTTATATAGCGTAACCATAGCATAGATACCTATGGATAAGATAAGTTCTATAAGTTCTGGTATACAAAAGTAATTATCAATAAAAACTTTGTGACTATTTTTTTGCAGGCCATTACAAAGACGCAGGACAACAAACCCACTTTCATCAACAGTATTTGATACAGTGCAGCCAACGGGAGGTCCAGTTTTACCTCTTTCACCATCAATCTCAAAATTATAAATATAAACTGACATGCCAGTAAGTGTCCTTAACTTATATACCGATTTTTTTTGTTGTTGTTGTTGATGATATCGCTTCAAACTACTTGCTCCTTTAAATGGAACCACTTGTTCGTCAACTGACAAAAAATTTCTGGAATATTAATAGACACATTTGCTGAAAAGCAATTACCAATTACCTAAGTTTTATTATGGTTCCTATTGGTTCTGATAATTCACAGTTAAGTTGTCCTGTTTGAGCTAATTATTAACATCACTGTCTACATAATGATTATAAATTAAAAGAAAGAAGTTGTTAGTTTACTGAAAATCCTTTCTTTTAAACAGCATATAAAAGTTTCAAGGAAGTTATTAAGAAATAAATCTTCAGAAGCCGTAAAAAAAAAGAAGATATAAAAAAAGTTGCTTTAAAAAATTGAAATAGTTGTTGTCTAAAAAAAAATATTGAATATAAATCAAAAATATTTAATTTTTAATGTTTTATGTAAAATGTCAAATTATATAGATATAAATTATATAAATATATTATGTTTTTATTAGTTTATTGCATACTTTATAATTGAATATTTTTATAGTTAAGACTTCTATTTAATTTTTTACTTACAATATGTAATTTAAATTTTTTTTTTAGTAAGCATTATATCTCCTAGCCATCGACAAAGTAAGATTTGAATTTTTGTACTTGATTTTTTGTTAAAAGAATACTTGCTTCTTACATTTTTATTTGATTTTTTAAATTTTAATTGGTTTATATATTTTTCTATAATTTTATTTATATTGTATGAATATATATATATATATATATATATATATATATATATATATATATATATATATATATATATATATATATATAGTATATATATATATATATATATATATATATATATATATATATATATATATATATATATATATATATATATATCTTAAACATCTTCACTTCCAACAAGGTTGCAAGCAACCACCCTTAGAGTTGGAAGTTACTGGAAGAGGAAGATGAAGTTTATAAATCAAGGTAACAGATGACTTAAAAGATTGCAAATTATATAAATCAGGAAAACAAGATGAAAAGAGCGAATTCTAAAGAACTGATGTTCTAGGAAAAAAACTAGATAAATAAGATAATAAAATACCACTTAGGAACAGTCACATTTAAAGGATGAGGCTTAATTGAATGAAGAGTAATATGAGAATGAATTTTAGTAGATGGCACAAGAGACGCTAGCTCTTTAGAGCAATGCCCATTATTGTATTTATAGAAAAAAGAAAGAGAAGCAACATTACAACGATTTGACAATCATTGAAGGTTGGCTGCAAGTACAGGTCCAACTATGCTTTTAATTCAGTTTTTCACTTTGTCTAAAAGAGAAGGAGCATCATTTGATGAGCTGTTCCAGATAAGGCAACAGTATATATGTATAAAAAAACTACAACTTCAAACACCTTTATTGTCTTTTCTTAATCTTAAACAAAACCAATTTAAAACAATTTTAAAAACAATTTTGTTCTAACTTCTTGATATGATTATCACTTAATTTTCAAAATACACTCTTATTTTTTTAATTATGATTACTACAATTATTATCATTAAATTCTTGTTTGTTTACTTTTTATTATTATCATCAAAGTATGGCTTTTTAAATCTTGTTTATGTATGTTTTATGTGTGTATACTCATTTGATCAGAATTCTGTTTGAGTGACACCATTCTTATCAACTATTTAACTATTTAGTTATTATTATTAAATACTTATAATTAATTTACTCATTATATATATATATATATATATATATATATATATATATATATATATATATATATATATATATATATATATATATATATATATATATATATATATATATATATGTATATATATATATATATATATATATATATATATATATATATATATATATATATATATATATATATATATATATATATATATATATATATATATATATATATATATATATATATATATATATATATATATATATATATAGTTAGTCAATTAAGTTACACAAAGCCACAGGTTTGTTACCCAACTCATATGTTGGCCATTTTTGTGTGGCATTTACTGTAAATGATGAGCTGTAGTAACTACTACCGAAACATCAGTTGATAAATTTAAACAACTGTCCACTAGTTGTTTAAATTTATCAACTGATGTCACCTTGATGACATTATATAGCAAAGCATTCCAGTCATTGACTACACGGTTGTTAAAAAAACTTATGTCTGATTTCGCAGTTTATTTTAATCTCGCAATAAAGCTCTGGATGCTATGCTGCAAGGCATTATGTGCCAATCAATTAGGTTTAAATTGTTGAGAAGCTTATATTATTGAATAAGATCGCTTCTTTTTCATCTGTGTTCAAGAGTGGTTAATTTCATAATTTTACATCGAGTTTTTTAATCTTTTTTTCAAAGCCTGAGAAACTTTTGTTATGTTGCATTGTAGTTTTCTTATACGCAGTATAAGTTTTTTCCAAATGTCAATGTCTCTTGATACAAATGTGTTTTTACGAATTTTGAGCATATTATTTGCTTTGTTTGCAGCTATATTGTACTGTTGATCATATTTAAGGTTCTCAGAGTTTAAAATTTGGAGATTTTTTTTCCAAAATTTGTGATTTCTTACTACTCTATTGGTTGTACCGTCATTTTTTATTTCATTCATAATTTAATCAAATTTTATTTTTCCAGAGTTTACATGCATATCTTTACATTTTTTTTACATTTACCTCCATTCGCCAGGTTTGCGTCTATTTAACAATCTAGATCGGATTGTAAACTTGCTCGATCTTCATCATTTTTGACAACTCTCATGAGCTTTGTGTCACCTGCATACATTTTGAAAATTGCTGATTTGATATGAATCGGCAGGTCATTTACAAATATGAAAAAGAATGTTGTTCCTAACACAGAACCTTGGGGAACCCCACTAGTTACATCAATCCAGTCAGATTTTGAATCTCCAATGTTTTTTTGTAGACTCTTAGGTTGGCAAGTTAGGTTGGCATTTCAAGTTAGTTCTGCAATTTTAGGTCAGTAGTTAGGTCAGCATTGGCCAATCTTAATTCCAATGGCTGCATCTATTAAGTGTTTTTAAATGTAACTTTTTTTCATTAAGTACATTATTTACTTAATGAAAGAAATTGGCTTTTTTTAGTGGAGTTTTTTGGATACTGATTTCTTATTAAATTAATTAACTGTCAGATTATTCCTCCATTTTAAGATTATAATAATTTTCTATTTAATACCTAAAACAAAAACTCTTACATGGTTTTGACCAAACTTATTTTTTAGACTAATATAATTTAATCTTGGCTCCATCTTTTAGGGGTGTGATTTAAGATTCAATCCTAAAACTAAGTTCAAATTTGTGGGTTTTTTCACTTGGCTTGCTTTTAATAAACTTTCAAACAAAAGCAAAAAAAATCTATTATGATCTCAAACTGTTTTTATTCCACTAATCAAAAGCCTTCTATATTTTTTATCATTCGTTATTTTTGCTTATTCTTAACTATAACTTTTATTCTTTTTTATAGTTTAAACTTAAGATTTTTATGGTCTCGAAACTTTGTTTTTTCCAATAATCTGAAGCATCAAGTTGTTAATTTAATAATTTTAACTTCCTATTCTTGAAGGTATTTGAATAATTTTATTATTTAGCTTGCCTAACAATTCTTGCTGACCAAGTTTGATTGGCCAAGTTGATATAGGGAGAACAAAATATAAATTTTTCTAAAAATAGATAATTCTTGATTGGCTGTTATTTCGAGCGCTTATATATATATATATATATATATATATATATATATATATATATATATATATATATATATATATATATATATATATATACACATATATACATACATACATATTTCAAACTACTTCTGTCTCCACATAGCTGCAAGCAACCACTTTTTAAGTTATGAGTTACGAGAAAACAAAGAATATTTATTTTATTTTAATTTTATATTTGATAATTATTTGTACAGGATAAGTTACTTCAGAATTTATTACAATTCTGTTATCAATGTACGTACTGTTATAAAATATAAAAATTAAAATCAATTAAAGTAATAAAGTTATTTAAAAATGTCATAAAAACAACTATTTCCAATTAATTTTTACTTCAAATTCTCTTTATTATATAATAAAGAGAGGCAATTTTATGATCTACTCTGGTGCTAAAGTCACACTCTAGCATCAGAGTAATAGAAAGCACTTATTGCATATTTAAGTTATATTTTTGAAACTCTTATTCGGAGACTGCTTTTGATGCTTTTGCATGGTTGAACACTTCAAAGTAGTTTTGCATTGTTGAACACTTCAAAGTAGTTGTTAATCATGATATTCCAAAAATGCGTTGGTATGTTAATAGACAAGATACAACAAGTATTTGAAGAGAATGGTGATTTAGTGGTTATAATATAGGTTGCCTCTCTTTATTATATAATAAAGATAGGAAATCTTACCAGATGCTAGCTTTGCAGTAGTGAATGAGAGAAGATGTAAAGTAGAGAACTCAGTAAGTGTGTTTCCATTTATCAATATAGAAATATCAACAGTATTGTGGTAATTGCTTGAAAATATCTGAGTTTTGTTGGAGTTAAAGTTCGCAAGTCACTACAAACACCAAGCTGTTAGAAGTGAGATCAGATTCAAGTATGGCTGATACATCTTAAAGATTGACTGACAGATCTTGAATCTGATTTCACAGAAGTGAGATTAGATTCATGATTGTTCTGAGCGATCGAAAAGTTATTAGTTTTTATCAAGACATGAGTTTACTATTGTGTCATCAGCAATATGCAAACAAGATCCAGTTAAACACTTAATAAATAGTTTAGAGAGTGTTAAAGTTGGAGAAAACTTTTGTAAGACTTTGGCATGGATGGTGTGTGGACCACAAGCCGTAGATGAGTTTAAAAGAGAAAAAAATTTAGCAACAAGTGATCTAAGAATGAATTAATCTGTTTCTCTTGAATGGTAGGAAGAGTGTGGCCATTAGATTTTTGAGTTAAATTGGAGAAAAAGTTATTTGCAAATAGTTCTGCCTTATCCTTGGGAAAAGTAATAAGATCAGGTCCATATATATGAGATCCAATCTTAGACCTACTTTTGTTAATGATACTGTTGAAGATTTCCTGAGTCTCTAAGAAGTCTCTAGAACCTAACTTCTAAGATAAAATACAAAATTTAGTAAACTGAGAATATTGGAGCTTAGCATTAGATTTCTACATTTCATTTTTACATTGATTTTTAGTAGTAATAAAAAGACATTTATTCCCAATATAGTTGTTCCAATAGTGTTTTAAATTTTTGTGAAAAAGATAAAAAAAATAATTTCAATTAGAAACAGCAGCTGCTCAAGAAAGTGATAACCATGTGATAACCATGTGATAACCATGTGATAACCATGGGGTAGAATGAGACTTAAAATCAATGAAAAGGTATAAAAGCTTCCATACCTGCATGGAACCAGGAGACTATGTAGAAGTCTTATTAGTGAAGAGAGCAACCCATCAGGACCATTATGAAGACAATCATGAAAAGAATCCAATCAGCTTTAAGGTAGTAAAATGTTTAATTATAGGATGAATTAAAGAATGAGCAGAAGAAGTTCTAGATAAAGATTAAGAGCACAAACTGTCTAAAGGAGAACCAGAGAAAACTCACCTTAAAAAGGTGATAAAACAATAAAACAGTGCACACCAAAAGCTCTAACAGGGATACCATTCATACACAACATGGCTCTGATACTCTGATACGCTGATATTTTACAGTCGTTGATGGAATTAGTCTCTCTCACAGAGTTTGGCAAAACTTACTACGAGTTAACCAATGAACTGAGTTTAGATTTGTACCCTCATTAGGAGATAATAAAAGTTGCATAGCCACTACCAAGGAGACACAAGCAAAAACTCATAACTAAAGTCAAGAAGATCTAGCATTCTACATCCTAGGCAGGAAACAAAATAACACAGGTTTACATCTACACCAACCTAATGGCTGAAACAAGACTGTGACGCTGATCCACTCAAGTTATCAACGTACCCCTAAAGTTTTTAGGGGTAAGTAGAACAAAAGTATACATATAGTAATTTATGGGTGTTCTAACACCACACCATACACATGAACACAAACATACATATAGTAACTAACAATTGAATAAAAACTGTGCCAGAGGTTTAGGCAGATCATAAACATATATTTATAATATGTATGTATGTAATGTATGTAATGTATGTAATGTATGTAATGTATGCAATGTATGCAATGTATGCAATGTATGCAATGTATGTAATGTATGTAATGTATGTAATGTATGTACTCGGTGTAGTTAAGGCACTTTTAAAATATTATAGCGTCTGTATGATTTGTTGATTATGACATATTTCCGTGAAATGGTCTGGTCTGTGAATTATGAAAAGGCGAAAAAAATTAAAATAATAAATTTTGCGGTATAATAAAATATAAATGTTTGTAGCGAAAAAACCCAGACCGTGGGATTTTTTTTTTTTTTTAAATCATCTTAAAATCACAATCGCTCGTCCAAATTTAAATAAGATTTTATATTAATACGTTTTTTAGGTGAAATGAACATTATAGTTTAACAATATGATCTGTTCTGATCTTTTTTGGCAATTATTTATAATTATAAGCTCTTTCTTGGTTGGAATTCCAGTATTTTTTGTGAAAGTTGATAGAAATATTGTGTTTTGACAACTATATATAGTTAATATACGTCAGAACCGATTAGAACTAGGACCAGTAGTAAATTAAGTAACTTTTTAAAAAGATTTTAACTAAATTCATGTTAATGTCGATGAACGAAATTGATCTAAAGACTCCAAAATAGTGTTCTTTAGATACATTATTACAGGTAGTAAAAAGATTTTAAAAATTATATATAAAAAAGAAAAGTTTCTTCAAATAGTATAAAAACTTTAAGCAAAAAAAATTATAACATTAAAAGATCTTGTTTGGGCATAATATGCTGACAAAACCATGCTAATTCCAAATAAAAGTATTCAAATATTTTGTAAATCGCCTTAACTACACCGAGTATGTATGTATGTATGTATGTATGTATGTATGTATGTATGTATGTATGTATGTATGTATGTATGTATGTATGTATGTATGTATGTATGTATGTATGTATGTATGTATGTATGTTTGTATGTATGTATGTATGTATGTATGTATGTATGTATGTATGTATGTATGTATGTATGTATGTATGTATGTATGTATGTATGTATGTAATGTATGTAATATATCTTATGTATGTATGTAATGTATGTAATATATCTTATGTATGTATGTAAATGTATGTAATATATCTTATGTATGTATTATGTATATAAAGTGTTTCATTCAATATTTTGAAAATGATGACTCAGCTAATTGATGATTAATACTTTATTTATAGCTTTGCAAGGGCCAATAGATGATGTATTGAATTTCAAAAAAGAATTTGAAAGTGTATATGGCATGCAACATCCTACATTTTATCAAGGAAGCTACCAGCAGGTACTAACCCATTAAATAAATTCTCAATTGAAAAATCCCTCGTTTGGTAATGTTTTTCTATACAATTATTAGGCATTAAATGATGCAAAAAAAGAATTAAAGTTTCTTCTCATTTACTTACATGCTGCTGATCATCAAGATACTCCTGAGTTTTGTAGGTAATCTATCTTTTTATTTTACTTTGTTTCAAATTTGAAACTTTATATAAAAAGTTATTGATTAAAGTTTACTTTTAAAAATTTTAAAATTTAATACTTTTTAAAATTTTAAAATAGGGATGTTCTATCAAATAATGGGTTTGTTGAGTATGTAAATGGAAGTATGATTTTTTGGGCTTGTGATGTTAGCAGCAATGAAGGACATAGAGGTATTTTATATTTTTAATTTTTTTCTGTTTTGATGAATTTACTGTGCCTAAAATGTTGCAATGGAAAAGCCTTTATTTTAGTATCTCGTGCTGTGAGAGAAACAACTTATCCATTTCTTGGCTTAGTATGCCTTAGGGATTATCGAATGGTAATTGTTTGGAAATGTGAAGGTATTTATTATGATTTAAAATAAAATATATTTATTGAAAAAAAAAGTTTAGCAATTGGTTATGTAGGAGTATATTTATATATATAAGAAAAGGTTTTTCTAATTTTTTTTTATGTATATATATAACAAATGTTTTTTCTAATATATATATATATATATATATATATATATATATATATATATATATATATATATATATATATATATATATATATATATATATGTATATATATATATATATATATATATATATATATATATATATATATTTATATATTTATATATTTATATATTTATATATTTATTTAAATTAGGGTAGGTCATAAATTTTTTTTCTTGACTTTAAATTTTATATATATATATATATATATATATATATATATATATATATATATATATATATATATATATATATATATATCTTTAATAAATATGTATATGTATAAAATATGTATATGTATATATATCTTCTAAATTCAATTGTTTAGTTGATAAATAAAGTTTTGACGTTTATTTAGTAAAAATATCATAAACCAAATTCTGCGTATGTTCAACAACCTGAAATCATTTTAATGTCTTATTTACTGAATTTTGTTTTAATTCCTTAAAAGGTTCTATGAATGTTGATCAAATAATGGCTGAGTTAGTGCAAGTAATTGATGAAAATGAACCTTCACTTGTTGCTGCTCGTGCTGAAAGGTATTGCCTTTTTTAGTTATGTTTTCTTTCATTATAATATCAAATTCTCTTTTTTTTTTTCTAATTTAGATTTTCTTTTTTTACTTCTTTAATTTTTTTAATATTTGTGTGTGTTTGTATGTGTATAAGATACAAATATATATATATATATATATATATATATATATATAAATATATGTGTATGTATATATATATATATATATATATATATATATATATATATATATATATATATATATATATATATATATATATTATATATATATATATATATATATATATATATATATATATATATATATATATATATATATATATATATATATATATATATATATATATATGTATATATATATGTGTGTATGTAATGTTAGTGTATTCTATATATATATATATATATATATATATATATATATATATATATATATATATATATATATATATATATATATATATATATATATATATATATGTATATATATATATGTATATATATATATGTATATATATATATGTATATATATATATGTGTATGTAATGTTAGTGTATTCTACAAATAGAGTGCTCAATAATCTTAAAGAACAGAGCAATAATAAATTAGTAAAAACCCTTATCTAATTTTCTTCAACAATTTGTTTTACCATCAGTAGGCTCATAAGGAAGAATGTCTAAACATCAAAAAATTCAAGTTATAAAAAAAATATTTCACAAGATATTGGGAATTGGTTTAAATAATTAAGAAAAGAAATCTTTAGAATTAGGATAATTTTAATCTATTTTTTTTTTTTTTAAAGGTACTTGTTTTCATGTCTACATTTAGAATTTCTAAATGCAGACATGAAAACAAGTACCTTTTGAAAAATTATAAATACAAAGGACCAGATTAAAATTATCCTAGTTCTAAAGAAATTTTAAAGACTTTTCATGATTAATTTTTTAATTTTAATGTAGTTGATGCAACTTCCTAGTTGCAAAATAACTACAGTTATCACATACACTAGTGGCCATTGGAATGGACACCCCTTTAAAATATATGAAAACTTCACTTTGGTGTGTTTTTTAAAAGAAAATAGCCATATTTATGCAGTTTTCTAAATTGATTATAATCTTTTGATGCGTTGAGATATAAAAAAAACTAAAATTTTAATTAAAATTCATAATTTTAATATAAAAATTTAACAATTTAATGACGAAGTGGCAAATTGTGGTAAATTTATGTTTTACAGCTTACAAGACATGTTATTAAAAAAATGGCTTATAAAAAAAAATTCTTAATATTTTGTTGGATTTCCATTATATTTTATTACTGCAGCAATCCAACGAGGCATTGAGTTCACTAAATTGCCCAAATCTTTAGTGCTGATCACGTGAAACCAGGACTTGATTATGGCCTCTATTAATTGTTGCTTGTTCCCAGGTTTTTCTTTCCTTACAAGTTTTTTTCAGTCAAGACCACAGATTTTCTATCGGATTCATGTCCGGACTGTTTCCAGGCCACTTCAAAATGTTTATCTTTTTGGCTTTAAACCAATTTTTGACAGTTTTTGTGGTGTGGCATGTAGCACTGTCCTGCTGGAACACACAGGTTTCTGTTTTGTCCTCAAACAAATCATCCGTCGATGGGAGTAATTTGGCTTCTAATATGTTTTCTTGGTATTTTTTGGCGTTTAAAATACCATCCACAATGTTGATGCGACCCACAGCATCTCTGGTCATGCATCCCCACACCATTACACTTATGGGATGCTTTATTGTAACCAATGTGCACTCAGGTAAAAGATCTTCACCGGGCCTTCTCACATAATTGATTCCATCACTTCCTAAAATGGAAATCTTGTTTTCGTCACTTCAAATAACTCTTGCCCAGTCTTCCTTTGTCCACTCCCTGTGTTCTTTTGCCCAAATCAAACGGTTCTTTTGTTTTTTGTTTAAATATAGTTTTTTTCTGGATCTTCTTGCTTTTAAATTATTTTCAAAAAGTCTTCGGCGAATTGTTCTTGAACTAACCAAAACTCCGGTGGCCTCTAAATCATTTTTAATTTCAGCTGAAGTTGCTCTTCTGTTCTTAAGTGCAAGTCTCATTATCATCTTGTCATCGTTAACAGTTGTCTTCTTGATTTTTCAATTTTCGGCATATTTTTGAAGATATTGGTTGCCTTAACCTTTCGTACACCTTCCTCACTCCAGATTTTGTTGCTCCATTTCCCAACTTTTTGGCGATTTCCATGTACGAATAACCTTCTCCACGTAATGTAACAACTTTGCATCGCTTTGTAGGTGACCAATATCCTTTTGCCATTGTAAATAAAAATACAATTTTAAAAAACACACTGAATCTTCAAGAGCACTTTCGACTTCACCAACAATTGTTGTAACTCAACTAAATGACTACAAAACAATGATCTTGTATATCAAGCTTAAAAGATTTATCGATAAAAATGTTAATTAATAACATAATTAACTATTAGTCATCACAATAAATAGACTAATTTTCACAAAAGCACAAAAATAATGAGATATTCACCTTTTACCAAACTTTATATATATATATATATATATATATATATATATATATATATATATATATATATATATATATATATATATATATATATATATATATATATATATATATATATATATATATATATATATATATATATATATATATATATATATACAGCGCTCGAAATAACGGCCGATCAACGATCAATGATCGTCGACTTTTGGTAAAAATGAAATTTTGAACTCCCAAAATTAATTATGGCCGATCAAATTTGATCGTCTACATTGCATGTCACACATTAGAATAAAATTTTTTTTAACATTTAAAAAAGAATCTTAAATTTATTAAATTAGCATTAAAAAAAATATGTTCATTATTGCTGAATTAAACAAGTTTTTAGACCAATAATAATCTTTTAGTTCACATTAAAAATGGTAATTAAAACGAAGCGCGAAGTTTATTGTAAATAACTTAATAATGCTTTTGATTGGTGGAATAAACATAGCGTTGATTTCGTAACAGTCTTCAGTTCGAAAGTTTATTAACTGTAAAAGAATTATTTTAATAAAGCGAATTCATTTGAATAAAATGAATTAATAACTAGAAAGGTTAACATTTCTTTGATTGTCTGAAAAATAATGAACAAAGCAAGTTTGTGATTCGTTGGAAAACTTCATTTTGAAATCATCGTGACAATTTAAATTGAAAGAAACAGTTTTTGTTTTAAAGTTTTAGAAATTAAATGGTAAGTTTAAAAATAATCTTAAAATGGAAGCATACAAAAAGCGTCAAACATTTATTTCTTTTAAAAGAAACTTAGTATCTGGAACACCCGCTGAGAAAAAACTAAAAACTTATGACAGAAAGCTACAATTACAAACAGCTAATAAATGGAAAGTCTCTACGCTTGCAAAATATAATGCTAATGATTGGCTTGAAATTGAAAGCGTTGACGGAATAGTTACAGCGCTAAAATGCAAAGTATGCTGAGAATATGCATCGCAAATTCAGATTTTAAAAGGCTACACTCCGGAATGGAGCTGTGGAAAAGGATGTAGTCGATTGCAACATAGTTCTGCAATCACGCATGCAGAGGGAATGTCTCATCAGAAGGCTTTTGAGATTTTTATGAAAACGAGAGGCATGAATTTGTGCGATCGAATTGAAAAACTAAACGAGTTGCAGCAGGAAATGCGGCAAACAGACATTTTATCCGGTATTCAAACCATGAATAGTAAAGACTTGGATTTGACAAAAAAAAAATTTGAGGTCGCTTACTTTATAGCAAAAGAAGAACTATCGCTTTGCCTATACCCAAAAATAATTCAATTAGAAGAGAAACATGGTGTAGTTTTTGGTCAGGCTTATAAAAACGAAAACACATGCGGAGTATTTGTTGACTACATTGCTCTTACTTTAGCGATAGATCTCAAAAATAAACTAAATACTTGAAATTTTTTCACTATTTTAATTGACGGTTCTAATGACGTTTCAATTAAGGAAACGTCATTAGAACCGTGGTGGTTACCGACCTAAGAAAGCCTGCGGTATTTTCTTTTTTTTGCTTGATTTATTTATCTTATATTTATTACCATTACAGTTATGCGTGACGCCTATATTTTTAGTTTTTGCAAGTATAAAGTAAATTATAAATTGTATAATCTTGTTTCATTTTTAGGTACACAATGGATTTCACATAAAGTTCAGGCTTTAGAAATGGTTTTAGAAAAATACGGTGTTTATTTAACACATCTGGAAAATATGACTGAAGATATAACATTTACCAATGCTGAAAGAGCTAAGTTTAAAGGATTACACAAAAAGTGGATTCATGCTAGAATGCCCTTTTATATCGCGTTGTTTATTGAGATTTTAGCACCAGCAAAGATGTTGTCAAAATGTTTTCAAAGTGATGAGATAGATGTGTTGGCTTCATCAGGGTTTGTTCAACAAGCTAAAAGCCATTTAAATCGTATTCAAAAAACAAAGTTTATTAATTTGCCAACAGTAAAACGTTTTCTCGCCAAAGTGACTGAAAAAGAAGGAAAGTTTTATTTCCAGGGTGTTGCACTTAACGACTTTGTAAATGCTAAACATTTAGTAAAAAAGTCTAAATCTATTCATATCGAGTTGGTAACAAATTCAATCATAGAGCGTTGTCGCCGTTGCGACATGCTGGTTTTGCAGGAACTGTAAATGATGTTTTGGATGCTTGGCATAGCTTGGTAAACTCCACTATAAAATATTTAGCACCACATAATACCGGTTATCGTAAGTTATGGCATCAAATTTTTTCTAGCTCAATGAAAAATGAATGGGTTCCAGTTTTACTTATTGTCGAACTATTATTTACTTTGCCTGTTTCTAATGCGAAAGTTGAACGCCTTTTTTCACTAATGAATAGAGTAAAAACGGATACAAGAAACTCTCTGAAAGAGAAACGTTTAGAAAATTTAATTCGAGTAAGTTTCGATGAAAAAGATTCCAATTTATT